GAGACTTTAGTCTTTGCAACTTTACAGATCTTCTTTATGCACCAAGAGCTTGTAACACTCCAAAGAGAAAGGAAAAATTGAAATCGCATCATATGACCCCTTTAAAAAAAAAGAAATCACCCTCTAATCCTATTGTTCTCTATTCTTTCGACTTTTCTTTTATTTATTTATTAAAAAAAAAAAAAAATCACCCTCTAATCCTAGTGTTCTCTATTCTTTCGACTTTTCTTTTATTTATTTATTAATTTAAAAAAAAAATCACCCTCTAATCCTAGCATTCTCTAATCTAGCTTTTTGTTTTCCTTTTATTATAAAAAATAAAAAAAACCTTGTTATGTGTACTTCATTAGACTAACCGAGACTTGTCACAGCATTGACATTTTATTGCTCTTTTGTTGGTTTTGACTGCTTTTATTGTCCTCATTTGTAAGTCGCTTTGGATAAAAGAGTCTGCTAAATGACTAAATGTAAATGTGAGCAGTCCTATATACAAATATGATTGATTCAAAGGCGATACTTGTGACAAGACTGTCTGCACTGGACTCTTCTGCCTGCAACACAGCCTGCTTTGCCCCTGATTTTTTAAAATTACGTCACCCCAGATATATTGAATAGTATAAATAGTAAAACAATCTGCACCAGTTGATACATTTCTACACATTTCACATCGGCTAAATGTTCTTTCTTAAGAGAAAAACACAATTGTGAGTCATTGTACAAGTGTTGCAAGACAGTGCTCTAACAACAAGCATCTACATCAGTCATGGGGCACCAAACCGCTGAGCATGTGCGTCACCAGCGAGCCACCGCTCTGCAAACTGTGATGCAAAGAGACATGTAGATATGACGCAAGTGTTCATTCTACCCTTGCTTCCTAGAATGAAGCACAAAATCAAGAGAGAAAGATGAACAGGCAGCTTGTTTTGATGGGTGTGGCAGGGCCAAAGGTTACAGACATCAGAACGGCCCACATAATCTCCCAACGCAGAACGCTAGCGTGAGCTCGCACTTTATCCGTCAAGATCGCAGCTGAGATGGGAGGAAATTTAAGATGTTTTCCAAAAGAGTGGAGCAGACGCTGAGGTCTGTGGGAGAATTACCACAAAGGAATCTGAGCCAAGTACATTCACTCCGATAAACCTGAATAAACCCACATATTTAAGAAAATGTGTCATCTGGATTTTACTCTGGTTGAACACACCCGTTCTTGCTGTAAATCCAGAATTCAAGAGTTTTACAAATTAGAAGAGCTGGCCAGAAGCTGTGTGAACATCTCATCAACTAGAACATAAGCAGAGCCACAAGTCTCTATCTGCAATAGATAAGAAATTTAAGATGTTTTCCAAAAGAGTGGAGCAGACGCTGAGGTCTGTGGGAGAATTACCACAGAGGAATCTGAGCCAAGTACATTCACTCCGATAAACCTGAATAAACCCACATATTTAAGAAAATGTGTGTCATCGGGATTTTACTCTGGTTGAACACACCCGTTCTTGCTGTAAATCCAGAATTCAAGAGTTTTACAAATTAGAAGAGCAGGCCAGAAGCTGTGTGAACATCTCATCAACTAGAACATAAGCAGAGCCACAAGTCTCTATCTGCAATAGATAAGGCTCACTTTTGGTTAGCATTACTGGATCAATTTGACACTCAGACCCTCTCTCAAAGTGCATCAAGGCCAAAGTCTGCTCCAGACAGGGCGACCCACTTAGAGAGGAAGTCAGCTCAGAGCGCCCCGCGGGGGCCAGAGGGTCAAGACAGAACCCCTGCTGAGCTTTGGCCTCCGTGAGGTCTGATGAAGTCTGACACAAGGCCAGCAGACAAGCAGGAGATTGCTCTCAGGACTCTGAACTCCAACATAAAGTTCCTTCATGACTCGTTGTACTTTTTTGAAAGGACAGCAAAAAGGATGGAGCTTCACAGGAACATAATAGTTTTTATGTTTAGACTTGTGCATACTCACATTGCTGCTGATTTGGGTGGAGGATCATTTTCTTGCAGGAGGCGGTACTCTTCAGCACAGCCACAGATGATTCGTAGAGTTCTCACTGCAATGATAAACAACTGAAATCAAAAAACAATAATAATAAAAAAAAAAGTGTGACAGGATATAGGTGTATGTTCAAACTGTAAGGGTACATATTAGCATTGATAAGCACTCTTAAAGGAATGGTTCACGCAAAAATGAAAATTCTGTCATTACTCACTCAACTCGTTGCTGTCTAGGGTGGGTATTGAAAGCTCTCGGATTTAATCAAAAATACCTTAATGTGTGTTCCAAAGATGAATGAAGGTCTTACGGATTTGAAACTAGATGAGGGCGAGTAATTGATGACAGAATTGTCATTTTTGGGTGAACTATTCGTTTAAGATTAAAATGCAACAAAGACTAATATGCACCCTTTAGGGGTAGAAAAGGAATTCATTTTCAAACAATATCCAAAAGGTTACATTTATGAACACCTTACTTAAAGGAGTTCATAAACACCTTCACATAAACAAAAAAGATTTACCAAAGCATTATTTTATGAAGGAATAATCATGACACGAGTCAAAATTATAAGATCAAGTCATCTCAATTTCAATGGTCAAACTACGATTTTTCTTCATCTCAACTTCGCATTTATCAGTTATTACAAATCTCAATTTTCACAATCATAATTTTGAATTTTCATCCGAGATAGGTTATGCTGCTGATGATAAAATTATGCATCTAATAAATATGACTTAGTATGTCTATTTTTGACTAAGATTTTTTTCCCATTTCATCTTTTACAAAACTTACTAGTCACAATTATGGCTTCTAAATTCATAATTATGATGATTAAAGAAATTATTTTCTATAATCTTACAATACTTTCTGCTATCCCAACTTAATACAGAGATAGCTAGAAGTGAGAAGTGAGCCAATTTTTGTTTTTTGTTTTTTTTAAAAAAGGGAGTGTGTTTGGTAAACCTGTTTGAAAACATTTTATTTTTGCAATTCCGTTTGGACACCAAGGTCCCATTTAAACCTTAATGCGTTTTTAGTGATCAAATATCTAATCTGATTTGTTAAAACGGTTCCATTTACACGTGGCCACATAAATGTGTCTCTGCAAAAAGGACATAAATCCAATCTTTAATTTATAAATCCGAATTGCAAAATTAACAGTTCACGTCAACAAAAACGTATGTGCTGTATTGTATTCGTCATCAGCTAATTTCAAGATCAAAGACCGCAATAGGGGAGAGCACGGCATCAGCACTCGTAAGAATTTTGTTTCACTAATTTTAATGAAAATGATTGTGTTGAGCTTCTGCAACTTACTTTCAGCTTCATTAGCAGAAGTTTGCACGTTGACTTGCTGAAGAAATATTCAGCTACTCATCTGCAGCGATGCGTGTTGCATTAGCACTGTTATATCTGGCTATGACGTCATATAGTCTATAACACGCTTTCACATGTTTTTTTTTTTTTAAACATTTGGGGGAGGAGTAACATTTACACGGGGTTTCAACAACCAGATGCATTTACACTTGTCCAGGTTCGTCTGAAATGCATCCCAAACCACCTCCTGAAGTGGTTTGAGTGATCGGATTTAAATCAGTCTCGAAAGCGTTTTGAAGGGGATAGCTGTCCGATTAGAGAAAACACTTGAAGTGACCAGGTGTAAACAGGCCCTAAAGTGACACACTGAAAGGGTTTGTGGTTTCAATTTATGCTCTTACCAATACACTCCAGTTTCTTCTGAGGACAATAGTCTCTACACAGAAGCTTCAGCTCCTGCACCGCTGACTCGTACGGATAGCAACCGTGCAGCACAGCTGGGTCTCTTGGGAACAATTTAGATGGAACACCAACATCACCAGGTGAAACATTACGATGAAGACGCATGCTGCTCTCAACAGCCAGCTCCCGTTCTCGATGCACCTTCCTAAAGCATCACACAAAAAAAAAAAAAAACACACACAAGACATTTAAATGCAATTTGCTAAACCATACAGCATCTAAGAAAGTGCTCTGATGACTTTGCGAGCAGTTGTAAGGAACGATGGTTATTTTCAGCCATGCTCCAACTAAAGAATAATGCATATGATACAAATTGACAAATTGAGTTGGGATTACTGAATTTTAGATTAATAGTGCCATCTACTGCTCAGTGTCTAGACAATTCATATAATGATTCAACATGACTCAGCTAACTCATTCAAAGTAGTAATTTGAATAATCTATTTTTGAATAAGGAAAAATTTAAAATTTCTTTGTATTATTTAATTAAAATATTTTATTTACTTCACATAAGTAAAATTGAAAAAAAAATTACTTTTAAAAAATCTTTTAAATCCAAATCTGTGCAACAGGGGATTAACCAAATTCTTGTTATACACTAGTCATTAAATAAGTTAGAAATTAATATTTTTATTAAGGATGCATTCAACTGATCAAAAGTTACAGTAAAGACATTTATAATGTAACATCAGATTCTATTTGAAATAAATGCTATTCATCTATTAATTTCCACAAAAACATTAAGCAGCACAACTGGTTTTTTTTTTATTAAAGAAATGTGCCTGAGCAGCAAATCACCATATTAGAATGATTTCTAAAGGATCATGTGACACTGGAGTAATGGCTGCTGAAAATTCAGCTTTGCCATCACAGGAATGAATTACATTTTAAAATATAAAAGTTATTTTAAATTGTTATATATATATTTAATCAAGTAAATCAGATTTGGTGAGACTTTTCAAACGTTTTTCAACGCACACACTTATTTAAAGACAAAAAAACTCCAACAATTATTTTGTGACTTACCTAAAAAGTACCAAAAGAGGGCACCAAAGAGGGGTGAAGAAGACTTCCTCTATACTCGCCACACATTGGTCCTTAGAATTCGCAGTGTTGAGACATTCAAAAGAGAGAAGACACAGAGACAGCAGGCGATCTGTTTCACACAAAGATAAATCCATTTACCATAGACAATCAGCCAACTAGTCCATTTCATAAAAATACCTTTTTACAAACACGTTTATGGTGGATTATGATGCTCAGGCGTTGGTTACACCCTGACGCAGTATAAACACATGATACAACCATACAGATCCCACTGACCATAACAGGGGATTTCTAAAAATGCTGAACTCGCATGTTGCACTCAATCACACAAGAACAAACACTTATTTACCGATAGCATTGTGGATGTCTTTGACGATGGCCTTCAAATGTTCCTTCAAAGCACGCTCCTCAAGATGATTAATATGAGATTTGAGGTCTATGTGTGTTGTGTCAAAGATCACATCAGAGTCCATATCATCACCACTGTGAGAAGGAACCCAGTCCAGCTGAGTAAGAAACTTCTCTAGATCCTCAAAAGAGTTCTCCCTATCTGTGGAGACCAGAGTTGAGGACTCGTCCAGGTCGTTCTCGGAATTTGTGTCATTGGCGTTGAGGTCGTGGGATGGGGAAAGGGAGATGGAGGCATCAGATAAGCTGTGTGTCATAGCAGATTTGAGCGGGCTATGCTGCTGCTGCGGAGAGATAAAACTGTCGGACAGGAGCAGGCTTTGGGCGCTGCGGGAGGGCTTTAAGGGCAGTGAGCGACCAGGCGCTGTGCTCAGAGGAACACACTGGCTCACTATAGGATACAGTCTGTTATACACCCGATACTGAAGCCTCTTCAGTAACTTCATGACTGGATGGTCTGGGTAGCTGGGATTGGAAAAGAAAAGAACCAGATGACATAAGATATGGAAGAAACACTTTTATGCTTACAGATGATCTGACAGCATGAACCTACCTGAGAAGACATGAGATTAGACCTGAAACCAGCATTGGATCATTTGGATTCTTTTTCAGATTAGCTTTCCAAATTTTTGGCCATTCCTATGATAAAAATGTATAAAAATCTTTATTTATACATTTGTGTACATACACTAATGTTCAGTCAGTATGATTTTTTAAAAAGAAATTAACACTTTTATTCAGTAATGATGCATTACACTGATCAAAAGTGACAGTAAAGACATTTATAGTGATACAAATGATTTCAGTGTTAAATAAATGCTGTTCTATTCATCAAAGAATCTTGGACAGAAAAAAAAAGCAGCACAACCGTTTACTACGATGATGATAAAAAAAATGTTTCTTAAGCACCAAATCTGCATGTTATAATGATTTCTGAAGGATCATGTGAAACTGAAGAAAATTCAGCCTTGCCATTACAGGGAAAAAAATATTTAAAAAAATAGTAATATAGAGAAGTCATTTTAAATTGTAAAAATATTTAATAACATTAATTTTATTACTGTATTTATCAAATAATTGCAGCCTTGCTGAGCATGAGACACATACATATATATATATATATATATATCTCTTACCAAACCTAAACTTTTGAACAATAGTGTAGGTTTACCAGTTAAATTTGCAGTTGCAAAAATACACGAAGATATTATTTAAAAAGCTACAATATACATAAACTTACATGATCTTGCTCATATTCAAGCACACTTGCATACAGAACCCGCTGCTCTTGTTCCTCAGGTGTCATGGTCCCACAGGTCGCAAACCTCCTGCAAAAACACAATTGCATGAGCCCAAATGAACACATAGTAGAACTCAAAAAACTGTTGCGTATTACACAGCTTAAATGTGTTTACATAATTCCTTTGCTATTACAAGGCATTATGTCATGCACAACACACAACAAATATAAAACAGGCAAAACTCATAATACTACATTTGCAAATAAAGTCAGCTAAACATCTTCATATGGCCTATGGGTCAAAAAGGCTCACCTGTTGGCTTCTTCCTGCAGCCTGAGTCTCCTTTGCTCCATTTTTCTTTGAAGCTGCATGAGCTCAGGAAAATTCCCAAACATTTGAACAATTACCACACTCAGAAAAAGCTATCAGCAGAAGGCAAACCTTGCTCACAGCACATTGATTAAGCATTCACCCAACACACTTAAAGTTTATTTTAAACAAACTTTAAGTGTGTTGGGTGAATGCTTAATCAATGTGCTGTGAGCAAGGTTTGCCTTCTGCTGATAGCTTTTTCTGAGTGTGGTAATTGTTCAAATGTTTGGGAATTTTCCTGAGCTCATGCAGCTTCAAAGAAAAATGGAGCAAAGGAGACTCAGGCTGCAGGAAGAAGCCAACAGGTGAGCCTTTTTGACCCATAGGCCATATGAAGATGTTTAGCTGACTTTATTTGCAAATGTAGTATTATGAGTTTTGCCTGTTTTATATTTGTTGTGTGTTGTGCATGACATAATGCCTTGTAATAGCAAAGGAATTATGTAAACACATTTAAGCTGTGTAATACGCAACAGTTTTTTGAATTCTACTATGTGTTCATTTGGGCTCATGCAATTGTGTTTTTGCAGGAGGTTTGCGACCTGTGGGACCATGACACCTGAGGAACAAGAGCAGCGGGTTCTGTATGCAAGTGTGCTTGAATATGAGCAAGATCATGTAAGTTTATGTATATTGTAGCTTTTTAAATAATATCTTCGTGTATTTTTGCAACTGCAAATTTAACTGGTAAACCTACACTATTGTTCAAAAGTTTAGGTTTGGTAAGAGATATATATATATATATATATATGTATGTGTCTCATGCTCAGCAAGGCTGCAATTATTTGATAAATACAGTAATAAAATTAATGTTATTAAATATTTTTACAATTTAAAATGACTTCTCTATATTACTATTTTTTTAAATATTTTTTTCCCTGTAATGGCAAGGCTGAATTTTCTTCAGTTTCACATGATCCTTCAGAAATCATTATAACATGCAGATTTGGTGCTTAAGAAACATTTTTTTTATCATCATCGTAGTAAACGGTTGTGCTGTTGCTGAGCATGAGACACATACATATATATATATATATATATATCTCTTACCAAACCTAAACTTTTGAACAATAGTGTAGGTTTACCAGTTAAATTTGCAGTTGCAAAAATACACGAAGATATTATTTAAAAAGCTACAATATACATAAACTTACATGATCTTGCTCATATTCAAGCACACTTGCATACAGAACCCGCTGCTCTTGTTCCTCAGGTGTCATGGTCCCACAGGTCGCAAACCTCCTGCAAAAACACAATTGCATGAGCCCAAATGAACACATAGTAGAATTCAAAAAACTGTTGCGTATTACACAGCTTAAATGTGTTTACATAATTCCTTTGCTATTACAAGGCATTATGTCATGCACAACACACAACAAATATAAAACAGGCAAAACTCATAATACTACATTTGCAAATAAAGTCAGCTAAACATCTTCATATGGCCTATGGGTCAAAAAGGCTCACCTGTTGGCTTCTTCCTGCAGCCTGAGTCTCCTTTGCTCCATTTTTCTTTGAAGCTGCATGAGCTCAGGAAAATTCCCAAACATTTGAACAATTACCACACTCAGAAAAAGCTATCAGCAGAAGGCAAACCTTGCTCACAGCACATTGATTAAGCATTCACCCAACACACTTAAAGTTTGTTTTTTGTTTTTTCACATGTGGACATAAAATAAACTTTAAGTGTGTTGGGTGAATGTTTAAGAATGAATGAAAGAATTAAGAATGAATCAGATTTCACTTAAGCTGCATTAAATACTTCAGAGGTCACAGAGGTGTTGACCTTCCAACCCTAAACCTTTCTTCCCAGACACTTGTCGTGACACAAGCATCTCAAAGTTCAAACATTGATGAACTTAAAATAGACATCAAAAACCTTTTGATAATCTTATGAAATAACCTCAACAACAGCGTATTTAATTGACAGAAATTATTGATGGAAAGAAAATAGACGTAACGGATTCGACTGGAAGAACAATCCAATTACGGCCACCAGATTCACAAACGACTACATTTTAACACTTGTCCAATTCCAGGCTGATTTTACAACAGAATCTTAATGCAATGCATTTAGGTGTAAAATCTGAAACCAGATCGTAACCAAAGCCACAGCTCAAGAAACTATTAAGGATACTGCATCTTGCCTGGCTTTTGCTATTTTTAGATTCTCCATCATCTGCCTCTGGAGTGAGAGGGTCTATAATAAGAAAAAGTAAAAGACCAGTGTTATACAAATAGTTATTTCAGTTTCAACTTTATTAAAATGTACTCATTGGAAGAAGAAAAAAAAAAAGCTTAAGAAAGTTACATGATAGTGCATATAGTTTTAAACACATAATACTGCAGCTTTAAAGGAGGTCAATTAAACAAACTGACAGCACACTAAATATTCAGAAAACCTCCACCATATCCACAAAATCTAAATTACTTCAACTGGCCACCAGTTCTTCCCTAAATGTACATCACACATTTGCACATAAACGGATTTAAAATTATCAAGTATTGTCAAATGAGCTAAAAGTCAAACATTCAAAAAGTAGTGTATGAATTAATATGAAGTTAAAAAGCAGCATGCATAATGCAGAATTAGTAAAAGCAGATTAGATGGGCCATATGGACAGCATTATCATTTTCAAACTTCAAATATTTGAATATACTGGATCATATTACGCAATGGATTTTCAAATGGCAAAGATTCATTATAATTAACGGAAACAATTTTAGCATACCAAGTACGTACAGTTTGCATTCAAATTTATACGATTTCCCACCAAACCATAAAAGGATTTAATATGTAAATCGTTTGAGAGGCATCGATTATCTTGCTTTGTCACCACGCAAATACATTATAATATAATATAATATAATATAATATATGGCTACACGAACCTTCCAGAATGTCTTGATTTTTTTCCAGTATAAACGGATATCCATAGGCGTTTCTCCGCGTCTCCGGATCATTCTTGAGAACTGGACAGCACACACTGTTTGTGTCCCGCCGAACAACATTAAATTTGACCCGCCACCAAAAACTTAAAACGAAAGAACTTACCGTAGAAGTATTGCGATAGCGACCTCAAATGATTAAATACGAATTGTCTTTGTCTGCGTGCACGGCCAATCTATCGCTCTGATCCCGACTGGCTCCCAAAACCCTGTTTTTATACAGTCTATGCCAAAACCACAGCAGGCGTCGCAGCGGTCGCACCACATGGACGTGAGTTTAGTGAATCGCGCAAAGCCATTTAAAACAGGAGGTGTGGCGTCAGATGTGTTCTACGCATGCGCTCAATAAGCTAACAGATCACGTGCGTAAACGTCAAAGAATAAGTTCATTGTTTACGGATTTTCCACACACATATACAATTTTATACATATTATGAAAGCTCTGAAACACAAGGTGGAAATAACCACAAAGTGAAATATTTTTTATTGCCTTTTGTTTCCTCTTCCTTTTTTCATTTTTATTTTTTTGCAAATACTTTTTTCTTTAGAATTTGTTAACAAATAAAAAAATATATGCTGAAAGATAAATAAAAAAATACAATTATGGAGATAAATATGCAACCTGGAAAAAGGGGAAATGTAAAAGAGTACAGCAGAATGCTAATGAAACAGACTCAAGAACCTTAAGTTTTTTAGGGCTTCCATTTTATATATGCATGCATGTATGTATTCATTTATTATTTTCCTAGAGTAAGCATACTCATTTTTTCCAGACTTACCAATGAGGTTTTTTGTGTGGCCTGACCAGGGGTAAGTCTTGCCAGCCGAGCCTCATAATTAGCCTTAAGTTTCTGGTTGAGACGTGATGCTTCCTCAATAGGCGTTAATTCCCTGTCACACACATACAAAACTTCTTATTGTGTACATACTGTGCATTAGAGACAGTGAGACTAGAAAACATGATGTCCTATTAACTTCCTTCATATGGATGCAGAATAGATTTGTTCTCTATCACAAAACTGATAGCCTTAAAATTTCAATTGAAGGGGTCAGCGGTCAGTGGAAGTGCACATAACTAATTGTGTGAAACGTGGAGCATCATGTGAACCATACATTTTTTTTTTTTTATTACAGTGATTAACAACCAAATATTTAAGGTTCTAGACTAGATTTCTAGTTTTTTTTTTTTTAAATAATAAATTATTTACAATAGTGTTTTTTTGTAATTTTGAAGCAAAAGCTTGCAGTTTTTTTTGTTTGTTTTTGTTTTGTCTTGGTCTCTTTTTCTTGAAGAGGCATCATCCAGATAGAATTAAACGTGTTGACATTATTGCTTTTTGCTTTCTTAAATAACTTTATTTTAATAACATCCATTAAAAATGAAGGCTATGAGGCTATTCTGTATCTTGTTAAACCAAGCATATTGTTCTTTGAGAATCTAATTTAATAAAACAGGGGCATTCATTATGGAGCAAGTTAAAGTGAATTATAACACTTTTATTTAATGTAGAGCTCTGAGATGGTGAGACATAATTTATGAAACATTATTTATTAGCCTATAGAATTATATAATAGTGATGTATAGTTTTTTAGTGTTATTTAATCTTGTTTTTGTTTGTTATCTTGTATGTTTTTGTATATCACACTATAATTTGGGATCCAGATGTGAACGATCAATGGATATTGGGACTCTGTACCCATCATTATGTAGGTTCTCCCACATTCTGCTGTGATGTATACAGCGGTTATTAAACTCAATATCTCACTGACTTACTTTCGGTTGTCTTGTAAATCCATTGACTGAAGCTTCTGGAAGACTTCAGGTGGCAGGAAGGGGGAGTCAGTCTCCCCTCCCTCAGAGAGGACTCTGCGATGTCTGGTGGGCTGCTCTTTACTTTGGGTCTCAGAAACCAATGCAGATGCATTAGGTGTATCTACAGGAAGAGGAGTTTTGTGTAAACTGAGATACACTACCATTCAAAAGTTTAAGACATGAAAAGTAATTTAAAAAAAAATAATAATCATTTTATCCTGCAAGGATTTTCAAATTCTACAAGGAATTGTTCAAAACTGACAGTAAGACATTTTGTAATGTTACAAAAGATTTCTACTTCAAATAAATGCTGTTCATCAAAGAATCCTGAAAAAAAAAATGCATCATGGCTTCCACAAAAATATTAAGCAATAAAAATTGTTTCCAACACTGATAAAAAGAAGAACCATTATAATTAAGCACCAATTATTAATAATTAAGCAAGCGTACAGCACTGAAGACTGCTGAAAACTCAGCTTTGTCATCACAAGAGTAAATTACATTTTAAAATCTATTAAAATAAAAACAGTTATTTTAAATTTAAATAATGTTTCACAATATTACTTTTTTTGATCAAATAAATGCAGCCTTGGTGAGCATAAGTGACTTCGTTCAAACCATTAGAAAATCTTTATTATTCCAAACTTTTGAATGGTAGTGTATAAATAATATTCTTAAAGAAATGCCATTATGTTTAATACATACAAGTAGCAACTTCATAGACACCCTTATTGAAAACCCTGAATAAAGAAAATAAAGGCTCACCTGTCATTTTGGGATGATTTGTCGCATTAATAGCTGGAAAGGTGGTCTGTTGGGAAGCGGACAGAGGAGTGGAGGAAATGACAGGTGCTGGGGACTCGGGCTTCCTTATGATGCATGATTTAACCCTCTCTAAACATTGCTCTACTAGTTTCATCATCTTCTCCAATTCCACCGACTCCATCTCTCCCTCCTCTGCAAGAAGAAGTGCATAAGAGTCATATGTCACATTCAGTCCATAAAAACAGAACTTTAAATGTACAGTCTGACAGTGGAGTTACTCCTGCCTAATCAACCAGGCAAACTTAACATAAGCCTGAGAAGTTGAACAAAGGTGATATCTAGCCTTATCTTAATAGGGCTTTAATAATCATTTAATGCAATCTACAGAAGTTAAGATACATTTGAACCCTGTGTGTCTTGTCAATGCAATTAACTTAGCACATACAATCTCTTCCTTAAAAGTTCTCTCTTGAAATAGGAAGCCAGTTTACACCACATGACAATGACTAAAGCAGAGGAAATAAATTGCATTGTTAAATAACCTTTGAAGCCTGAAAGCACACATCACATTTGAATAGAAAGGTTGAAGTAATTTTTTTAATTAAGTATGATGACTAACTTACGTTTGGATGTGGCATCTTCAAGCAGAGCATGAGAGATGTAGTTGATACTTCTCAAATATTCACAGTACGCCTCCTATAAAAGGAAATAAATAATCATAGTGGGTGGCAGGAAGATTTTATTGGATGTGTTCTGCATCATAGTGCTATAGAGTTATGTTGAAGTCTTTGCTAGATGTCCTGTTCTGGTGTATCTTGAATTGCCACAACCATCCACAAAAAAATTTGAAACACAACATGATTTATCAACGAAATGTTTCATCTAAATCTGCACTGAATCTGTGTTTTCACAACATGAACTCAAACTAGCCCTGAATAATCTTTAAACACACTCTAATACCAGACGATTAGGAAACAGGTAATAACGTTTAGTTAACATCAAAAGGTAAACACTCCATATGACCGTTGATATGATTTTATCAGGACTTTTATTGAATAAAGTTCACATTTTGGACGCGATCGACTGGAGCCGCAGTTTTTGTGGGGAAAATCATTGGGGTTCTCTCATGATCATCGGCTTCGGTCAATGTTTACGCTGATAAATGACGTCACTCTCGCATGCATTTATTGGCTAAATATGACCCATATCTGGACTAAACAGGGCAGGTTTAAACATCTGTACCTTGTGTCTGTTGCCGGTATCCAGCTGAATGGCCACTTTTACCAGTCTCATGGCATTCTGCAGCGGTCTCTGATTGCTGTCACTGACAGGAGCGGCCATCCTGCCAAAACAATCGCGCGAGTCTGTCGGCAATCCGCAACAACCCCTAGTGACGTACTTACTGCGTTTTCAAAATAAAAGGAGATGAATTCATAGCTTTTAACTGGCATACGTTTAAATAAACAAAGAAAGTACAGCGCATATTATAATATTTGTTTGACATTTCGGAATTATTGCTTTGAACTGACACTTGAGGTATGACTGTGTGAACAACAATAATAATAAAGAAAAAAAAACTGAGACTGAGATAAAAAAAAAAAGAGTCTGAGATAAAATTTGAATTAAATATGCCAATATTGGCATACGTATTAAATAGCTGGAAAAAAAAATAGTAAAATGATTATATTGTTTACAATTGACTCTTTGAAATGCCTTATATTTTGCGTTGTTACAACGCAATAAATGCAATGATATATGAATAAGGTAATAATTTAGTACGGTCATATTTCTATCTTTTTCAAAGTGATGAATGAGTGAAGTGCTGGAGATATAGAGAACCTCAGATGTCACAATGCCATGCAGTGTAATTTTAGTATAATTTATACTGTACATCATAAACATTTGCTCTTTTTTGGTATTTTTATTTTAGTTTGTTTTATTAATTTTTGTCATGTACTTTTGTCAGTTTCAATTGTTTTTGAAATATTTCTATATAACTTTAATGTTTATTAGTTTTTTTTAAGTCATTTTAGTACTTCAGCCTAAACTTTCAGTTAGTTGCAAAGGCATTTAAATATTTCTAATTTTTAAGTTGAGCTTAAGTTTTTCTTTTCTTTCTTTTTTTCTCTACATAATATTTACATTATTTCTGCTTTATTTGAATTACTGAAAACTTCTTGTTAACAATAACAACATCAGAACATACCTGGGGTGTATTCCAGAAAGCATGGTTAATTTACCGCCAGCTAACCCCAAACCTTGCTTATTCGAGGTATGTGGTTCCAAAAACGCGTCCAGGAGTAAGTTCATTCAACTCCGAGTATGTTCCTGGTTAAGACTCAAGACATTCTCAACAGAGCGACGAATCGACGAGTCACTATGGAAACAGACGCTAAGAAAAACCGCACCATGCTGTTTCTTTCTTCTTCTTTTATTCAGTGGTCGTTTACATGCTTAGTGCATATCGCCAC